GCAGCATTCACAGCATTTTAAGAAAATGAACCATTTCTTTGTTATCCAGCTATGAGCCAAAAGTTTTTCTTCCTAGGATCAGTAAAATTAATTTAGCTTGTTCGTATGCTATTTAGGGGGAGGGAAACTTCCCCAAATTAATTTGTTTGTTAGAAAATTAAATTACTTGTACATTGAAGGTCTTAAATTGGTAGTCTAGTCTTATTGTCATTTCCATTCCTGGTTAAATGCATCAGTTAATGGTTAACCTTAAGCATTTAACTTTCCTAAAACTTTATTTTTTAAAATAATATATTAACAGGAGTGTAACCAACTTGTTATTTTAGTGAGGCTTAATATAAAGCCATTTTAGCCATCTATTTCATTTTATTAGCTCTTTCTTAATAGATTGTCAAATCTGCAGTTGGAATTATTCTTTTGTTCATGCTTATTTTATATATTTTTGGCAGCACTGAAATTCCATAGACTATTTCTGGTCACATAGTTAGGTGTAAGACAGATGTCATTGCTCCCAATTGCTTCATCTCTTCTTTTATATAAATTAGTGTTTTGTTGAAATATTGGTTTTGAAAAGGAATAAGTACTTGAACATGTTGGAATAAAGATAAAAAATTAAAATAATTATGTTTGAATTTGTACAAAAATATGACATATTTCTGGTTTCTTAGATGTCAACAAAACAGATTGTTCATAATAGCATCCTGTCTATGCTAATAAACTTGTCATTCTTTGAAAGACAGTCCTGTAATCTTGATTCCGTCCATTCACTTTATCCCTACTTCTGTTTCCCTCATCCTTGCCAACATAATCATTTGTTCTAGGCTTATCAAGCTACTTGAATCACAACCAAAGTATGTGAATTTCTGCTTACCAGTCAGTATTTACAAAGGCTATTGCACCATGGTGGAAGAGGAATGTTGACTGAAACAAATCTTATTGTATACATATCGGGGTGAAATGCTCCCGGTTCGGACCAGCTCGGACGAGTAGGTAGTGATGGCGGCGGGCAGTTCGGAGAACCGGTAGCAAAAATCCCTGCCCCCACCCCCCATGCCCAGCTGAGCTGCGCAATCATCAGCCTTTTTTTCTTTTAAATGGCTCTGACAATCCAAGCTCTGACAATCCCAGCTGAGTTGCCTGCTAACTGGTAGCAAAAATCCCTCCCCCCTCCACCTCCAGCTTGCTTACCATAGCTGCTGGTCGCAATGCCTGCCTTGCTTCGCTTGCTGTAATACCTGCAATCCATTGCATCAGCAAGGAACTGAATCTCCCTGCCTGCAATCAAGCTCATCGGTGAGCAGCTCTATCTGCCTGCCTGCCTTCCTGCCTGCCTGCCTTGTACCTTCTATTGAAGGGGTCTCCAACCTTGGCAACTTTAAGACTTGTGGACTTCAACTCCCAGCAAAGCTGGCTGAGGAATTCTGGGAGTTGAAGTCCACAATTCTTAAAGTTGCCAAGGTTGGAGACCCCTGTTCTATTGGGTAAGTTTTTTTTCCCTTTGGGAGCTTTAAAAAAAATAGTTAATTGGGGGTTTTTTTAGTTGTTCTTTTTTTAGACCTAGCCATTTAAAGTTTAGGAAGTTTTAAATTTAGCTGCTTTTATATAAAAATAAAAATAAATTAAAATAAAATAATATTTGTGCAGCTTTCTGAGATTTAGTGTTTCACTCTAACTACACAAACACACAAAATCTCACAAAGCTGTATGTGGAATTTTGTGTGTGTAAAGAGTGAAAGTTGTTTTTTTGGGCTTTTTGTGCCTGAGGTTCCTGCTTGTTGCAAGGCCATTTTGGGTTTAGCACAGCTGCTTTTACATTGTGGGTGAGCCAGTTGTGTTGTGTTGTGTTTTGTAGGTTAAAAAAGGGCAAAGAAGTGACATTGACTTGGCCACACCCACCCAGTCACCTTACCACCAAGCCACACCCACTAATTAAGCTGCGCCCACAGAACCGGTAGCAAAAAATTTTAGATTTCACCCCGATACATATGTTGGTTTTGTTTATTCTGGGAAGTTTATACATGTTTATTAAGTAATTCTATATTACAAACCATATATATTAGCATCAGGATTTGAAGTGGGAGAAAACTTTTGTATACTTCCTAGTGCTGATCACACAGGTGTCTTCACTGTAAGATTTAGAAATTTGATTTATTTTCAAGAAACAGAAGAATTTTAGAGTGTTCTTAATGTGAAAACTAGTAACAGTGGATAATGTTGTTGTTTCGTTGGTTATAAAGTTCCATGGAAGTAGTTCTGCCCCACAGTAATTGCTAGGGTATGATGGTTGCATATTCTTAAATGTTTATTAATAACCATAACTTAATATGAAACACTTATTTAGAATTCTGATTTATTTAAATTTCAATTTCTAAGGAAGTTTAAGATTATAGGCAATGACTACAGAAATTAGCACATGTGATAAAATATGTAATGTTGGTGAATCTTGCTTATTTTGCTTGCAATCCATTCTGAAACTTCCTGTACTTACAAAATACAATGATTGTCATATTTCCTACCCTTGCCAATGTTTTGTTTGTTGTGCCTTTGAGACGGTGACTCCTAGCAGCGCCCTGGACAAGTCCTTGCAATTTTCTTAAAAGGTTACCCTTCTAAGAGTTGTGCCTGAAGCAGGACTGGAACTCTTGGTCTCCGAGTTCCTAGTCTGGTGCTTTAACCTAAACTGGCTCTCCTTATAAATATTAAAATTTCCATTTTCTGCTATCTTATTTTACATAACTGAACAATATGAAGTGAAAGTTTAAAAATTCTATCCTAAAGTTTAAACATTCTATCCTAAACCACTGCATTCACCCTTACTATACAGGTAGTTCTCAAGTTATGACCACAATTGAGCCCAAAATTTCTGTTGTTAAGTGAGTCATTTGTTAAGTGAGTTTTGCCCCTTTTTACAACATTTTTTTGCCATAGGGTTAAGTGAATCCCTGCAGTTGATAAGTTAGTGACCCGGTCGTTAAGTGAATCTGGCTTCCCCATTAACTTTGCTTTTCAATAGGTAGCAAAAGGGGATCACATGACCTTTGGACACAGCAACGGTCGTAAATATGAACCAGTTGCCAAGCATCTGAATTTTGATCACATGATCATGGGGCTGCTGCAAAGATCGTAACTCTGAAAAATGGTCATAAGTCCCCTTTTTTCAGTGTTGTTGTAACTTAGAACAGTCATCAAATGAATTGTTGTAAGTCGAGGACTACCTGTACATGTTGCTCCAATCATATATGGCTGATTTCAAAAATAATAATATGATTTGAAATGAAAGCTTAACAATATGAATAAATTTCTCCGCACTGAAATTTAACTGAATCCAACTGAAACAATTATACACTTGATTGCCTGCTGAAACCACAAGGTTTTGATGAATGTATGTGGTTTTCTAAATTACTCATTTATTTATAGAAATATACAAAATATAAGCAAAAATCCCCCAAGACGCACTTAAAAAGAAAGCATGATCCAGGAATCCCTGCAGTGATATTTCATAAGGGTAAGGGTCCAGAGGAAGATTCCACTAATATCCAGGTCATTAGCCAAGAAAAGCTTTAAAACTGATAAGTAGCACCTTTGATTACACCTGGAAGGAAACTGGTAACTTCTGTAGCTCTCAGAGCAGAGATGCTACATGGGCATTTTGCCTTGTGCCCATAACTCCCAGAATTCTTGGAGCTGAAGTCCACAAGTCTTAAAGTTGTCAAGGTTGGAGACCCCTGATACAGAACACATTGCAGAAATCTAAATAGGTGGTGATCGAGCCTAAATAACTATGCACAAAGCTTCTCTCTGTGCAAGTAAAGCGGCAAACGGTGCGTAAGGTAGACCCGTTCAAAGCTCTTCCTAGCCACAGCTGCCACCTATCCTTCAAGCAGGAACTGTGAATCCAAGAACACAGATTACAAACCAGCACTGAATGGGGGTTATGCCATTCGGTTAAACTACTCTGTTTTGTGGGAATTAAATCAAAATCTGTTCTTTCCCATCCAAACCCTCTGCAGCTTCCGGACATTGTGATAGAACATCCAACACAACCCTTGTCTGGGCTGGAGTTAAGATATCCAACTAAGTATCAGCTACGTATTGATGATATTTGATTCCATGCCAGTGAATGACCTTCACCAGTAATTTAGGCAGATATTAAATAAGTGGTGGGTAAGTGTCAATCTACGTGGCATTATGTAGTGGAGGGCTTGATCCCCCCGTCAATTACACTTGACTGGATCCACCTGCTTTGGAAGGAGGACAACCCCTGAGAACAGTGATTCCCCACCCCACCCCAAATTCCAGCCTTTGCACATGGTCCAGGAGGTATTGAAAACTGCTAGGAAATAAAACAGAGGCTTGTTTTTTTAGTGATTCAGCACTAAAACCCTAACTCTAAACTCACATTATACTTGTTAAGATTTTGGGAAATAAAGCTCATGAATATTAATATAAAGTAAAGCTGCATGAAAGTTTTGAAGAGAGTTTAAATAATGAGTTCAGAGCTTTAGCCAATATCATTTCATCTTCTTCCCTAACTCTATCATTAATTGAATGTAAGGCTATTTTGCACTTGGCTACAGTTGATGGACATGATTCTAACAAAAATTGGATCTCAAAAATCTGATTACTTCCCATCACTGCTTACTCACACACTAGCACATAATTAATACCAAGTAAGTCTGGACTTTCTTTCAAAAACAGCCTGTCTCTCAGTGAGAATTAGGTTTTGTTGATATTAAATTGTTTCAGTAGGTATCTAGTTATTATAAATACTGATCTTTTTTTTTAAAAAGTAAACTTAAGACCTGCTGGCTGATTGAGTGGAAGGACTGCTTCCTTCCATGAAAAAACTTATTAGAAAATTGTAACAAAGCTGGACAGTAATCCAGCTTCCTATAGATACCACTAATGTTTTGAGCAGTGCCACAGGTATTACAGGCTTAGATAGCTTTTCCAGGACTGATGTGCTAATGAGTCAATTTTTTTGTATGTTGTTTTTGTAGCTCACAGTAAATGAAGCAGCTGCTCAGTTATGTGTCAAGGATAATGCACTATTAACCCGGAGGGATGAACTCTTTGCTCTGGCACGGCAGATTTCTCGAGAAGTTACATACAAGTACACTTACCGGACCACCAAGTAAGCTACATTTTTTAAAAAACAAACAAACCAACAACTTAACTTGAAATGGGTACATTACAAAGTATTAGAAATCACTTTGCAATTTTTCTGCCCTATGGTCTCACAGGCCCAATACAAATATATGAACCAGATGGGAAGTGTGAATGCTGGGCATTCTTGCTACACTGAGAATGTTACATGTTTGGTACCATTCTCAGCCTTTTTTGAGCACAGGAGGATTGAACAATTTAACTGTAGACAACTGCATCATATTTCTCTGTTGGGAACATAGAAACATTCACATATCCACAGCAGTGATGGGTTTCAAAATTTTTAACTACCGGTTCTGTGGGTATGGTTTGGTAGGCGTGGCATGGCTTGGTGGGCGTGGCTTGGTGGGCATGGCAGGGGAAGGATACTGTAAAATTTCCATTCCCACCCCACTCCAGGGGAAGGATACTGCAAAATCCTCATTTCCTCCCAATCAGCTGGGACTTGGGAGGCAGAGAATAGATGGGGGCAGGGCCAGTCAGAGGTGGTATTTACTGGTTCTCCGAACTACTCAAAATTTCCGCTACTGGTTCTCCAGAACTGGTCAGAACCTGCTGAAACCCACCTCTTATCCACAACACTTTTTTAAAACCAGTGTTGTGGAGAGTTGTATTTTTTTCATCAGAAGATTACTTGGGTGTTCCCAGAGAGGGTAAAAATCTTTCTCATCTGTCATATGCTTAGGGAGTATTGCTTTATAGGAACTCAGTTTCTCTCCCCTTGCCATAGATGGTGCAATCCAGTATTAGTGAACATATTGAACCATGTGCTTCAGTGAACAGAATGGCTTTGAAGGAGTGGAAGAAGAGTCCCAACCAAGACGGTGTTCAGTTAAAAGAAACCCGACTCCAGAGTAGAACTGTAACCTGAGAAAATGTAGACAAGACCTTCCCTAGTCTGGTCTACCTTGAAGTCTCGATGTGCTTCCCCCCCTCCCTCCCTTTAACTTCATAAACTTCTGGATGGGGAGAAATAGGCTCAGACTCAACCCTTCCAAGACCGAGTGTCTGTGGCTTCCGGCATCCCGATATAGTCAGCTGCTGCCATCGCTGACTATTGGGGGTGAATCTTTACCCCCCACAGAGAGGGCTCGCAATCTGGGTGTCCTCCTGGATACATGGCTGTCTTTAGAAGAACATATGACGGCCATGGCCAGGGGGGCTTTTTATCAAGTTCGCCTGATCTGCCAGTTGCGGCCCTTTTTGGACCGGGATGCCTTACGCACAGTCACTCACGTCCTTGTCACCTCCCGGCTGGACTATTGTAATGCTCTCTACATGGGGCTCCCCTTGAAGAGCACTCGGAAGCTCCAACTGGTCCAGAATGCGGCCGCGCGGATGGTTATGAGCGCGACTTGTTGCGCCCACGTGACACCTCCTGCGCGAGCTGCACTGGCTCCCAGTGGTCTTCTGGGTGCGATTCAAGGTGTTGGTTCCACCTTTAAAGCGCTCCATGGCTTAGGACCTGGATACCTTCGAGACCGACTTCTGCCACCAGTAGCCTCCCACCGGCCAATTCGCTCCCACAGAGAGGGACTCCTCAGGGTGCCATCGGCCAAGTTATGTTGGCTGGCGACACCCAGGGAAGGGCCTTCTCTGTGGGAGCTCCTGCCCTGTGGAACGAACTGCCCCGTGGAACGAACTGCCCCCGGAAATACGCAAGATCTCCTACCTCCATGTGTTTCACTGTACCCTTAAGACCCTGCTGTTCCACCAGGCAGGGCTATCTATGTAAATGATTTTAAATTGGGTGTTTTAAATTTTGGGTTTTAAATTCGGGCTGAAATTGTTTAATACTTTTAACTATTTTAAAACTGTTGTTTGTATCTTGTGTTTTTAATTGGCTGTACACCGCCCCGAGTCCTTTGAGAGAAGGGCGGTATATAAATTAAATTATAAATAAATAAAAAATAAAATAAATAAAAACTAGGGAGAGTTTTGTCTGAGATGTTTTCTCAAGTTAGAGTTAATCACCAAAGTTAGATTTTGTTTATCTGACCATTGTCTTGGTAGCAGCTCTTCCTCTTGTCTGTCAAGGCCACTACATGTACATTGCCCGACTATGAAGCTGCCTCAAAATTAAGAGTCCCAGATTGAGACAGTATAAAACTTCTGCAAATGAACAGACAAGCATATGAATAAATTAAATGAAGATAAATTCAGAAAAGCATAATTTCCAAGGCAGGTGTTCTGCAATAGTTTTTCTGAACATATGTACACATTCCTGTTAAAAATATATATATATTTTCATCTTCTAGGTCTAAATGTGGAGAAAGGGATGAACTATCACCAAAGAGAATTAAGATAGAGGTATTGTACTTTTAACTTGTTCTGTCTAGCTGTGGCTACTAAAACTGAGTTTTGTAAGAGGAAGCAAACAAATACATAAAAGTCAAACAGGTCATTTACCAAGATACCTGTTTCACTAAAATATTCCCAAAAATATTCTGAAGTAAATAGAATCCAATTTTCCCAAGGCTGAGTTCTGTAGATAGTGATTATCATCACAAATAATGGGAAGGAGTTTGTGGAGCCCATTGGAGAAAGAAAATGGAGTATCATGGCATTACTTTTTAGTCTATTTATAGAAATGAACTTGCAAACTAACTTTGCCTTCAAAAGTGGTGTAAGATATTTAAAATGAAAATCAATTCAAGTCACTTCTCAATAATATGAAAAAAATTGTGGTAGTTTAAAATGGCTCTTGTCTGTTTTTATGATAATTAAGAATCAGTTTGGTATAGTGGTTAAAGTGCTGGCTTAGAAACCAAAAGACTAATTCTAATCCCGACTCAGGCCTAAAAGCCAGCTAGGAAAATGATTGGTTCAAAGTCATCCAGCCACAGTTTGTAATTAAGCTTTAATTAATGGCAATTAAGTTGACATGGGTGACTTACCAGTAAGTATGAAAAGGACTGTTAAACTACTGCAGGCTAATTCTGCTGATTGCCGATTGCCAGCAATTCGACAGTTCGAATCTCACCGGCTCATGGTTGACTTAGCCTTCCATCCTTCTGAGATCGGTAAAATGAGGACCCAGATTCTTGGGAGCAATAGGCTGACTCTATAAACCACTTAGAGAGGGTTATAAAGCACTGTGAAGCGGTATATAAGTCTAAATTACTATTACTAAATTGGCTTTCTCCCATATAAGCAGTCCCAACATCTTGGGGCTGCAATTCCTAGAGGGTGACAGATTGAGAAAGCTATGTTGAATCATGGACTAAGTTGAAGTATTGTTCTATAATCATATGGTGTAAATGGAATTAAAGTTGTTTATTTTTCAGTGTAAATAAAACAACCTTTTGTTCAGATAATTCAAAGAGCTCATTCAGATCTTCTGCATTTTAGGAAATATTTTAGACCCTCTTGGAGAGAGTATTTCCTGAGTCATTAAAGAAATACTTTTTTCTCTTTGGGACGTTGACTAAATATAGCAACAAAGGTGCTTTAGTCAGTATTTCTTCTTTAAGATTTACTTTTAAATAACACTGTTGATGTTAAATTTTAGAAACTGGAGTGCACAAATATAGAGAAGATTCTTTTATTTTCATTAAAACTTCAAACTGTTAGACTTCTCTCTGTCTCATATATCAGGTGATATGGACCAAATGTATGGTAAAAGATGGGATGTCTCAAACGTATCAAGATAGTGGCTCTGTTTATTGAACTCTGTTCCTTTTTTTGACGTGTGTCATATATGTATCAATTATGACAAACAAGCAAACATAAAATAGCCCACAGCTAAAGTCTCACAAACTGCTGGTCTTGGTAAGTTTTTTTTTTAAACACAGACAACAATTTTTATCAGTAGCTACTATTGCTGAGTTGGTTTTATTTACTTATTAATCAAATTTATGTAGATTTCTATGAATTAAATTCAGACCAATTTGTGCACACTCAATATTCACATTAAATGATATTCTTTTGATCCTCCTGCACTTTGAATAGTGGAACTTCCATACTGTATTATGAATTGAGCTTGAAAATCCTTCGTTTGCTTGTAGTATAAAGAGGGATATACATGTTCTGGGAATTAATATATTATAATTAAAAATAATAGGAAGTAGGCTCAGCATTTTTGTTCTGTTTTTGCTTTTTAGGAAGGGATATTTTAATTTGATTGCTTTGTTCTGAGTGGACTTTTTTAAAAAAAAGGGCTAAAAGAAGGAGTTGGGGTGAAGAAAAATACATAGTTAAAACTTACTTATTTCTATCAATTGATATTTCTATCAATGCTGTTGGTGATTTTTCAACAGTATAAGAACATGGGTGTCAAATTCACGGGCCGGATGCATCACGTGCTTAGCCACGTCCGTCCCTGTTTTAGCGAAGGAGAGGGAAGTCACGATACGTCACATGAAGATGTGAGTTTGACAGTCCTAGTGTAGAACATTGGTAGAGCCTTGGTAGTACTAGGGTTTAAGGCACCCTGTTATTAAGCTGCTTAAGACCAGCTGCCTGCAATTACTGCAGGGTTCGAATCTCGCCAAGGCTCAAGGTTGACTCAGCCTTCCATCCTTTCTAAGGTAGGTGAAATGAGGACCCAGTTTGTGGGGGCAATAAGCTGACTTTGTATAAATATACAAAAGGATGAAGGCTATTGCTGAGCACATTGTAAGCCGCCCTGAGTCTTCGGAGAAGGGCGGCATATAAATCAAATTAAAAAAAAAAAAAAAAGAACATAGACCATCAGGGTTGGAAGAGAACTTGGAGATATTCTAGTCCAATCCGTTGCCTATGGCAGGAGATTCTATTGTCCAGTCTCTTCTTGAAAACTCCAGTGATGGAGCACCCATAACTTCCAGAGGCAAGCTGTTCGACTGATTGTTCTCACTTTGAAAAAAAAAATCATTTGTGTACTCACTTTAAGGATTTATTCCAATATTGCACTGAACAGAAAGTCTTAAATATAAGATTTATCTAAGTAAAGTATTCAGTAGTGCTGTGTAGCACATTGCTTTCCAAATATATTTCCAGTGTTCCTTTTTTTGTATTTTTTACAGTCACAAATAACAAATGTTGCCAGTAACATCAGTATATCGCCTCACATATATTTGATTTTAGTTTTGCTGGATGCATTTTGACTCATGTTTTTAACAGCTTATAATTATTTATACAAGCCTGAAATAGATCCAAATAGTCATGCTTCAATTTTTCAGGCTTCTGATGCTTGGCAGCTGGCCACATGTGTTAATTCAGATACATCCCTCCTCCCCTCCCCTTTAGTATTTTGAATTTTGCAGGGTTTAATATGCTTTAAATGCATTACTTCCTTACTGCTAAATTTATTAATATAAGGATTGAAACTGGTAAGGCAGGAATCACTTAATTCTCAGGCCAGGGAGAATTGCCACACAAACATAGAATAAATACTGGTAGTTTTCAACTTACAACTAGTTGCTTAACAACTGTTCAAAGTTACTTCTCCAGAGCTCCTTATAATCCTTTTGACAATATGATAGTTGCAACATACATACCAATACACAGACACACTGCAGTTAATACCGTAGCATTTTGGATGCCTGGCAACTGGCTTATCTTTACAGTCATTTGCAGTGGATATGACTACAATTTGCAAAAAAAATTGCTGGTTTTTAACAAAAAATGCCTATTGAGGAAAATGGATTTCCATAATGACTATGGCATTCATTTCAATTTAAAGCAGGACATCAGATGAAATATGAAACAAATTAGTTTGTCAGGTCTCCCAGAGATGTTGATTTCAGGTTTGCTCAGATATCAGTGGAAAAATTGTATCAGAACATGGGTGGGAAGGGAAGATACCAGAAATATTATTGCCCTTTTCAGTTTCCTCCTGCTCATTAAAGTTGAGCCTACACATCTGTTGGAGAAAAGTTACAGCAGTGTGCGCAAAGTCTGTGTTTATATTAAGAATTTAGCCACTGCATTAGTGCCAGGTTAAACCTTCTCTGTCCTGTTGCAAACAACACACACACACACACACATCAGTTGCAAGGTGAGAATATCAATTTACTCAAGACTGAGTAGAAAAGTGACAGACAGGGAAAGAAATGTATAAATCAAAACAGTCTTTGGGAAAGAAAGTTCTCCTGGGTAGCTTTACTTTCAACAAGAGCAGGCAGACATGAAGTCAAAATCCTGGCTGAATTTCAAAAAAGCAAGTCAAGATTGTCACAAGTCTGAGGTTCAGAGTTTCAGGGTTTGTAAACAAATTTCACAGAATGACATGCCAGAACAGGAGATCATACAATTGTTTTGAACAGAGAAATGTAGATACCCCATATGCTCCAGATCTGGCCAATTGATTAAAAAAAAGTTTGTCTCAGATTCCAGGGGTTCAAAGACACCCAGAAATTAAATGGAGCCCAGCTATTCAGAGTCTCAGGTCAACATTGAATCATTCCAGTTACTCTACAGATCAAGGTAGGCTTGAAAATACAAGTGCAGGTCCAACTAGAATCTGGCACCTTTCACTGAATCTCCTAAAATAATCAGACATGCTTTCTTCTCTTACCTCAGGAGTGTCAAACTCAAGGCCCGTGGGCTGGATCTGGCCTGCAGGGTGCTTAAATCTGGCCCATGGGACCAGCCTGGAAATATCAAAGGACTGGTCCGTGGTGCCTCTGCTGGCCAAAACGGCCCATGTGTGGCCCCTATGTAGCCCATTTTTGGTCTCCCTGGCCAAAAATAGACCTCATGAGGCCCGTTTTTGGCCAGCAGAGTGCTGCTGGAGGCTGGGGAGGCCGAAAACAGGCCATGTAGGGGCCTCAGGAGGCATCCGTCCCATCTGCTCCCCCCCCCAGCCCCTGGAGAAATACAATGCTGATCCGGCCCTCAAAGGAATCCAGTTTGTCACCCCTGTCTTATCTCATCTAAACAACTCTTTGGATTTGAGATTACTCTGAATCTTACCATCAGCAATTGTCAGGTATCCCAAGAAATTTATTTAGCTTTTCTTTATCATTTAGTCTTAGGAGTAGACACATATTCACAATCTGTTGTATTATCTGGGATAATACAACATTAGAATTGACAAGCAATCCTCCCAGCTGTAGGGCCTTAGGTTTATCACAACTGCAGTAAAATATGAATCCCACCTTGTGTGCGAAATATATGATATATTTATTTTTTTAATTTTTTATGTTGCCCATCTCCCCTGGAAAGTGATTCTGGGAGGCGCACAAGTGATATGGCAATGTGTTTGGAGAAGGAGACATGAAGACTCCCATAAATTTCTCTTTTTTGTCCCTGACCAGTGTTTCTGTCTTGTCTTGTCTTGTCTTTTTTTTTTTTTTAAGAGACAAGTAGTTCATTATTACTGTCCT